CAATGTTGGATTTTTGGCAAGAGTTTTCCAGGGTAGGCATATTATTTTTTATTGCTCATAAATAATGGAACTGGAGAAGTTTGACCTTCTTCAAAAATCCTTGTGTTTTTAAATATGACAGCAGCAGCACAGTACAGATTTCCCAGCTAGATGGTGGAGAAAATGTAAAACTGGGTATGAGTTCAAACAGCACTAGTTAACAGTAAAACAATTAAAAAGAATAAGAAGGCACAAGTGGCTCTGGAACCTGATTTTCCTCAGCCAGGAAGAAGCAGCCAATTTGGGACTTGGGAATGACACTTTCGTTCTTTTCTGAAAATTTTTATTTTCTTAACATAAACAAGGGAATTACACATGATTTCAAGGCAACTCATATATGAACCCCAGGGCTGTTTAGGCAAAAAGAAAGCCAACAATGTGTTTATGGGTTTGGAAACACATGACTCTTTCAGTGGTGCACCTCAAGCACTGACACGCTTTCCCAAAAGATGCTGTCTCCCCCCTCCCCCCCTGGGATGCTGCACCAGACTTCAGACTTTCCTGTTCTCCCAGGCTTAAAGTGTAGTCTTAAACTCACTTCCTTGGGAGTAAGTGCCACTGAACAGGACTTCTGAGTAGACACAAACAGGATTGCAAATAAATACTGAAAGTCTTAAAATATGTTAAGAGTTGTGTATACTACATGTATTATTAGTTTAGTACATCTAGTGTGATTTTATGTCCTATCTTGTATGTCATGCTATTATTATTTGGATACCTGGACATGGTTATTATGTTGCTGGTTTTACTGCAATTTTATTATAATACTCACATTCTAAATTGTAAAATAGCTGGAGAAAATGCATTTTTGAGATATTTAATAAATACAGTAAATAAGGGCTTGCCCTTTTCTTGCCTCAGCCATAAAGTTGGGTAGAAGGAGGCTACAATACTGTAATCTGACCATCTCATCAATACAAAATTCCCCAAGGATTAATTATTTCTGTGGGCAAACAGGGAGGGGGGATTATATGGCTGTTCAACTGGAAAAGAAGGAATTTTGGGAAGGACTGAAAAGCAAACAGGCAGGCTTTGTCAAGAGAAAGTGTTAGAATCAGGCCCCTGGATTGGACTTATCTAGTCCTGTTTGTTTTAGTGCCTCAGAACCTACCTGTTGTTTGAAAACCAGCTGCAGCCAACTGGCTACTGAGACATAGACTATTTCTGTGGTGGGGGCAGTCTCCAGCCTAAGCTAATTTTGTCATTGTTGTTGTTATGTGCTGTCAAGGCATCCCCAACTTATGGTGATCCTGTGAATGAATGTGCTCTAGAATGTCCTTTTCTTTGCTCAGCTTTTGTAAACTCAAGGTTGTGCCTTCCTTTATGGAATCCATCCATCTCATAATTGGTCTTGCTCTTCTTCTGTGTTCAACTTGTCCTCCCCAGTGAGTCCTTCCCTATCACAATTGCCCAAATATGACAGTCAGGAAAATTCTGATTCGATCTTTTTATATGCAATTTCTAATTCCTATTTTTATGTGCAATTCCTAATTCCTATTTCATTTTCTAGTTCTGAATTATATGTAATATGTAGAATTATATGTAAAATACTGCCTAGGTTTCTGATGTTAGTTTGCTTTTTACAGAGTTCTTTGGAGATTGTTTTGCAAGAACAGTCTGATGTGCTTGAGAATTTCCTTTTAGGCTATGTATCCTAGGACTGGCTCCATCTCAGAGCTGTAGTCAAAATCCACTGATTACAGGTCAAGGATGTGACTAAGTTTAACTACTAGAGTGCTGGAATAAATCAAAAGTTATCCATTTTTAAAAGAATCTCTCTTCTTCCAAGAAAGTAATTTCTATTTACACAAATTTAAAAAGGAATTGCACTGTTAGCAAGAGACAGTTTTCATGACCTTAGTGCCAATTTTAAATGATGTTTTCGTTCCTTTATTCTTACCTAGAAGATATCTGGAGAGTTATTGCGGAAACCCAAACTATTCTGGGTTCAGGTATTTCACAACAATAAAATGCATAAGTCATTTTTTCCATTATCTCTCTCCATTCCTACAATGTTACTGAGGAATTCTGCTGGATTAAAAGGTCAGTGATCCAACTGTTCAGATCAGTATTCTTTGCTGCAGGGTATCATGGCCACTGGCAGTACCCAATCGCATCAAGCATGGCTCTGTGTGTCTCTCTCTGATTCACCCATGATCTCTCCCTCTCTCTGTACTAGCTGTACATTCTCTGCCTTGTTGCTCGCTTTAGCAATAGGCTGGCTGTTTTGATCTGGGCTACTGATGGAGACTTCAGGGATGGAGAAGCAGGAGACCTGCCACTTGAAACAGTCAAGGAGGAGAAAAGGAGAGCACAGAGGCAATCAGACAATTAGCGACAGTGGAGGAGAAGTGCAAGAGGCAAAGAGCAAAGGGGGGGGGTGCAATGGTGCACCATGCTAGCACAGGAGGGAAAAATAAATGTATGGGTGAGAGAAAGAAAGAACATGCAATGTGCTTCGGTACTGTGAGATTCTGCAACAGTGACATTCCAATGCTCTCTCAATGAAGACAAAAAGATCCACTCTAACCCAAGCACCACTCTGAGAATTGGCCTCTCTTGGTGACTGATGGATGTTCGTGTGAACAAAATGGTGAAGAGAAAATGCAAATAACCTCCAACTGAGCCTGGTGCACAACACTGCCATTTGATTGAGAGTGAGGAGAGGAGAGGCTCCTCATAGCCTAGGAAAAGGCACCCAAGTGGTCTTGGTGGCAGTTCCAGAAACCAAAGTGGTTCCTGCTAGAAAAACAGTGGTTCATATAATCACCATGTGTGGTTAAGCTGCATCCTACCAATGGGCTCACTAGCTATGCCTCTGCAGCTGAATGATCACTTTCAGGGTGGAAAGGGGGGAATTCAAGGTGCACATGTAAAATGCCTCCATGGCACTGGAAGGGACAGTGGAGGAAATTTGCAGGCACAAACCTAAGATGCAATGAGTTTAAAGAGTGCACTTTTTTTAAACAGTAACATGAATTCAACTGAATGCAGCTCAGATAAACATTCTAATGCTTGAAAGTAGAAATCTACAGGCTGTGTCCAATGTGGCAACATTCATCTTCCCTTGATCTTTTTTTTTCAAGCAGCAAATGTCCCTTTGTTACTTTATTTTTTTTTCCTTTTCTCCCACCCATTATCCCCCACATTGTCAAAAATTAGCTTGTAATAATTATGAGGGCAAGGAAAGACCCATAATTCTTGCTTAAGAAACCATGAAGCATCATATACACAAATAACTAAAAAGAAAATAACAATACAGAAGTAAAACACAGCTGGGCTCCTTCCCATTCCCATCCATGTGTGTGTCCTGAATCTCACACTGCTGGTATTCAGTGGGGCCTATTGGTGAGTGTAATATTAGATCTATAAAGATAATCTGGCAGATGTTTGACATTAGAAAAAACCCACTAATTGTGAAAAAGTAAATCCATGTTACATTCTGAGGAAAAAAATACGTGAAACTGCTCAATTAATTGGTGATTTTTATTTTCAAATGTTTCTTGACTGCAGTAGAGTTCTCAAAAGTAACGTGTTCCCAGAGTAAAGTTTTTTTTGCAAATAAGTGAGAATCACAAAAATGCGGAAGAATTTAATGCTGCTCCAGTAACTCACTATTGGGAGTCACTATCTCATCAGCAAGAGTACTAATTTGACTTCGTATAAATGCAAACTCCACTGAGCAACAGCAATACCAGCTTGCTATCCTGTGCAGCAGCAACCTGGTCACTGGTTGATTTCAATGGGCTTGGGGGACTTGACTCTGCTTAAGACCAGGCTGACAGTCACTGCAGCACAGGAAGAAGTTTAGCATATCAACAGAGATCTGGTTTACCTGACATAGTTTTAGACAGGTAAGATGGGCTGTACATATCTGTAGTGTAGTTCTTTTCTTCATATCAGGCATCCTTTTGTTGCCTAATTTACACAGTTCTTCATTTACTGCTGAAGCAAAAATAAACAATGCAAAAGAGCCCCCTGCTGGAATGGTTGTAAACCTGCTTCTTAGCGTCAGTGGAACAATTCACTACTCCACTCAAACTTCAGGGAATGTTTCCCGCATGCTTCACTCCAGATTCCTAACTTTCTCCTACTACCTCAGTATCGTAACTAGAGTGCTTGATGTAATTTCTTAGTTTCGCTCAGGTTTGGAATCCCCAGGAGTAACTGAGGGGGAGAATTTGAAGGATATAAAAAGTCACTGGCTACAAATACTTCATTAGGCTTTCTGCTTCTGCAAACTCAATAAATATCTCTACCGTGAGTTCCAAGCCCATAATACCACTGCCTTTTATTTTATATATAGAAATTCCAAATAAGCATTCTTCTATTTCCCCATAAGAAAGCTTCAAATTACCTTCCTATACAGACTGAAAGGAAATAAAATCCATTCTGTTAAAAGTGTTATGCGAGAGGCTGCTTGCTTCAAAATCTTTTGGAGCAGTTTGTCTGAACAAGTTGCACGGAGTTCATGGATGTGATCTGGGGTGAATTCGGATAACTCGCACTCGCTCAAACCAGAATTGCCACTCTTCTGAGAGCAATGCAGGAAAACACCCACCCCCTCATCACGGGAGAATGGATGTTTCTTTTACCATTCCTATGGACACCCTAACTGAAAGACATGAAATAGGCTAACTTAAGTCTTCCTAAATATTCGCCTTACAATTCCTTGGACTTAACCCATGTTCCCCGGAGGCCTCTCCCAACTAATTTCCCCGACCCTTATGAAAACCTTCCCCCAGAAACACTGAAGTCTCGGGGCGGATTTGCGCACAGACACAGATCGTGCGACGGCTTCCCCGGAAAAGCGCGGCTTCCGAGGCGGAGCGGCTCTGCCCGAAACCACGCATTTCCACACAGGCAGCCGCCGGCGGAGCGAGACCCACGCGCGGGGGCCCCCGCAGGGCCGCCTCCCGCCGGCGCGCCCGGAGCCCTCGCGCGGGCTCGGCGCCGCTCACCTGTCGATGCTGATCACGCAGAGGGTCATGATGGAGGCGGTGCAGCACATCACGTCCATGGCGATGAAGACGTTGCAGAAGACGCCGCCGAAGATCCACTCGCCGCCGATGAGGTCGGTGACGCTGACGAAGGGCATGACGGCCACGGCCACCGACAGGTCGGCCACGGCCAGCGACACGATGAGATAGTTGGAGGGCTGCCGCAGCTTCTTGACGAAGCAGACGGAGATCACCACCAGGCAGTTGCCGGCGATCGTCAGCAAGGTGATGAGCGACAGGACGGCGCCGATCACCACTTTCTCCACGTTGCCGTAGCTCAGGATCTGCTCCCCGCACGGCGTGTCGTTGCCTGCGTGGCCGGCAGCGCCGAAGCCCGGGCTGATCGCGCTGGGGCTGCCGGGGCTGCTGCTCCCGCCGCCGCCGCCGCCGCCCCCGGGGCTGGCGGTGACCCCTTGCAAGAGCTTCCCGCCTATCCCTAAGCGGGGCGTATTCAGGGAGCCAGAGATCATCCTCACGCCGCCGCCGCCGCCGCCGCCCAGCTGCCGGGGATCCTCGGGCACGTAGGAGCGCAGCGGGCCGCCGGAGAGGAGGGGGCAGCAGCTGCTGGTGCCGCCGTTGAAGTCGAGGACCATATTGAGGAGGGCTGCCCAGGAAGCCAGCCGCCAGCCTCCCACATGCCCGCCTCTCCCCGCTGTGGCGGCGGCTTCCAGCGCTCCGGCGGCGCCCGCGGGTTGCTCCTGCCCAGGCGGGGAACTCTCTGTGCGGTCCAACCCGCGAGCCCCGCGTGGCCGCCGGACGGACCCCGCCGCTTGCCCGCCGCCGCCGAGGGCTCTAGCGTCGCCCGCTCGGCTCCCGCCTGCCGGCAGCGCGGCTGGCGGAGAGCTGCCTCCGCAGGAGCCCGGCCCGTCGGCCCAGCCGCCGACCGGTCATGCTGCCGCCGCGCCGCCGTCGCCGCGTCCCACCTGCGCCTGGCTCGGCTCCGCTCCGCCCAGGCCACGGCTGCAGCCGCTGCGCGTCGCCGGCGCGGCTCGAAGTTGGAGTTGAGGAGCGCGCCACGTCCCCCGCTTGCGCGCTGCGTGCGCCTCCCCGCGAGAGCGCGGGCGGGATGGCGGGAGGCGTGGCGCGCGTGTCCGGGCCGGGCGCTCGTCCCACCGGGCGCTGCCGCCGCCCTCCCGGCGCGCATCTGGCGGGGCGGGATCCCGCCGCGAAGCACGTGCGCCGACAGTGCGGCGCGCTGGTGCTGAGGAGGGCCGCCCCCTGGCCGCGGGCGAGGGGCGAGAGCCCTTGGCGCACGGGCGCTGGTCGCCGTTGGCTCATTGCGCCTCCAGACCCGAGGGGGCTTCCTGCACTCGTCCAGCGTAAATCGCGTTCAGCGGTGCTGCTGTAACATTGGGTACAATCCGCTGAGCCCTCGCAGATCAAGCGGAACCTTCATAGTACTAAGTGGATTTAATCAATTCATCCCACCATTAAGAGGCGTGAGATCTCATCTGGTGCATACATGTGTGTGGAGGAATCCTGCCCTTTCCACCTCTTTCCCACGCCTTTCAGCAGGCAGAAATTCACTGGGTGTAGCTATTCACCATATACAGTAGAGGTGACAAATAGATTTAAGGAATTAGATCTGATAGACAAAGTGCCTGAAGAATTATGGATGGAGGTTTGCAACATTGTACAACAGGTAGGAACTAAAACCATCCCAAAGAAAAAGAAATGCAAGAAAGCAAAATGGCTGTCTGAGGAAGCCGTATGAATAGCTGAGGAAAGAAGGGAAGCAAAAGGCAGGGGAGAAAAAGAAAGATACACCCAATTGAATACAGAATTCCAGAGAATAGCTAGAAGAGATAAGAATGCCTTCTTAAATGAACAGTGCAAAGAAATAGAAGAAGACAATAGAATAGGGAGGACCAGAGATCTCTTCAAGAAAATTGGAGATATGAAGGGAATGTTTCATGCAAAGATGGGCATGATAAAGGACCAAAATGGCAGGGACCTAACAGGCAGAAGAGATGGCAAGATTACACAGAAGAACTATAGAAGAAAGAGCTTAACATCCCTGATAACCACGATGGGGTAGTCACTGACCTCGAGCCAGATATCCTGGAATGTGAAGGCAAATGGGCCTTAGGAAGTCTGAACAACAGCAAAGCTACTGGAAGTGACAGTAAGCCAGCTGAGCTATTCAAAATCTTAAAAGACGATGCAGTAAAAGTGCTACACTCAATATGCCAGCAAATTTGGAAAACTCAACAGTGGCCACGGGATTGGAAAAGGTCAGTTTACATTCCAATTCCAAAGAAGGGCAATGCCAAAGAATGTTCAAACTACCGCACCATTGCACTCATTTCACATGCTAGCAAAGGGTGCTATTACAGAGAGGAGGAGGAGGATGGGCTGGGCTGGTATGAATTGCCCTTTGTCTGATCTGATGTTATCTGTCAAGTGCCAGTTCGATTTCTCTGGATAGGTCCTGGTCAGTGTCGGCTACATTTCAAGGATGCACACAGGCTACTTTCTAGAAAAGAGTGTTTTTCTCAGGCCTGGTTATGTGTCAATGATTGCATGATTTAACCAATGAAAATTATACCTATTGATCTGTGCATTATCAATCTCAATCTTATCCTCACAATAACAACCCTGGGAGGTAGGTTAGACTGAGAGTGTGTGACTGGCCCAAAGTCACCCAGTTGGCTCCATGGCCGAGCGGGGACTAGAACCCGAACTGCCTGAGTCCCAGTCCCACACTCTTAACCACTTCACCACACTGGCTCCCACTGTTCTCTGACACCACACATTCTGTTCTGCCATATGTTGTGAGAAGATTTCTGCAAAAATTCAGCCTGTTGCTAGAATGGTCAAAGTTCTACCAGAACACAGTTTAGAAAGTCAGAAGGAAATCCAGAATAGAAGATGGGACTTCCTGATCAGGTTTGAGCTCCCCACAGATTTGGTTTTTAAAATCTCACTGTATACCTAGATGGGTCAGCACTGGAAATTAACTTTTCCAGTTTTATTTTCTGGCAGGGTTCCTGTGCAGCAATTCATCTGTTGATGCTTAGCCTTCTCTATCACTGCATCTCCATGCTGAGGAATTGTTACCTATGCTTGTCATGCAAATATTCAGTGGTGTTATTAAGTAAATTTTGACTCTAGAATTTAACTGTTTTGCGGGGCGGGGGGTGCAGATGGTCCTGTGAATAAGCCAGCTCTGCTGCTGAGTGGGGTTCTGGATTTCTGCCCTCAGGTTCTGATGGTGCCATTCCAAGTGTTAAAGACATTGGTGCTGCGGCAGAAAAGAATCGGTGCTCACTGGCTAGGAGCCTGGCTTGCCTCAAGAAAAGTGCAAAAGGAACAGTTTAAAGTATGTCATTTTCTCTTGTCTGTAGCCTCTGCAACTGGTAGTCTTCACATATGGTGGGCTACAACTCCCACCCAGTTGACCGGCTTCTTATTTGAGGTCTTTTGCCCTCCTTTCTATCTGATATAATCCAGTCCTGGTTATCCTTGCTGTTGTCTTTTCAAAGATAAAGACGGATGAAAGGGAAGCTGTGGTGCTGGTGCTGCAGCCTCTAAGGCAGCAGCGCTGAACCTCACACCCACAGACCAAACATGGCCCTCCCAGTTTGGATTTCTCAGAAAGCCACGCCCTCGTTCCTGTGAGCACCAAATGTTTGATGGTCACCTGGCTTTTACTTGTCCCCCACCCCCACCCCCCATTCTAAAAGATTGAGATGAGTCACTTAGTTACTTGCAAGGGATTTGAAGCAAAAGGACCCTGCGCCTTCTGCCTTGGATTCACACACCACTGGCATGTGGCCCATGAGGGCTTTTCTGAAATGGAATTCATCCCTTGGGCTGGAAGAAGTTTGATACCCCTGCTCTCAGGTCTGGGTACGACCCACGCATGCATCCAGGCCCCAGCTGGAAATCCATGTGACAGGGAACTGAAGAGGCAAGGAAAAGAGGGCAGAAGACTGATGATTCAAGCAGATGTTGAAAAGGAGCCAGCAGAGAAGTGGCAAGGCTATAAATAGCCAAAGAGTCCTCCTGCTCGATGGACTGCGAGCATTTTAGAAGCAAAGCTTATTATTATTCCTTTGAGTGGTGCTAGAAGTGCTAGGAGAAAAAATAAAGTGGGATGGTTTCATTTCAAATTAGGCCAAGCTCAATGGCATCTGATGAAAAGTAGATTGTTTGTGGTCCAGCTGAAGAAGTGTAGGATGCCATCTCACCACACTTCCCAGGCATTTAAGCCTTGCTCTGCTATTCATATAATTGTGTGGTTATTGCTAATGGATAATACAAAGAGAAGCTTTTGTAATTCAGGTGTGGATTCTGGCCAATGTAAGTTTAATACTTTGATTACAAATTGTTGTAACAGGTGAAGTTGCTCTGATAACCTGCTTGAGATGCAGACCTGATGTAATAGAGACAAGAATGCCTTTGGTAACGTACAGAGAGATTTTTTATACTACAGAGTAGCAGTGGCAACCAGCCATCTCACATACCTTGTATTAAAACTAAAATCAGTGGGGCTATGTATCCACTCCACATTTTACTCTGAACTTTAAAGGAGTTATCCATGCTGCTGAACCCTGTCCCCAAAATAGATCTGGCAGCATGGAAAAAGCTCCATTTAAGTTTGGAATAAAATCCAGAGTGGAAACACAGCCCTGCTTTCCATTGGGACCAACAGGCTAAAACATTTCTCACTTCAAAAATTGTTTATTTTATTTTAAAGACGTTTGTTTGTTTGCTAAGTGCTAAAATGTAATAATGTTCCAAAGGCAGCTTATGACATTTATAGACCACTTTCCCAGTAAAATCGCACAAAGCAAGGTACACAGTTTAAAGCATCAATCGAGGCTGCTCTTGGATATGATACTGTTTTCTACTGTATAGCAAGGGAGGTTCTGACATTACTTTTTTTATTGGGAAACATCACTTTTTTTTATTGGGAAGCAACATCGAGGGAACAGATCAGTCTCAAAGTGCTCTAAAAATAATAATGTTCTATCTACTTTCACCTTTTAAGTCATGGAAGCTGCACAGATCCTGGCTACTATGTTTCTGAAAATCTGATTTAATATCTCTGTACATATGAATGCATGTGAGGGAGAGAAAGAAAAGGGAATTTCTAAAATGATAAAGAGCCGAAAGTTGCATGAGTAGATGGAAAGCCAGACCATGCCTCTTACATGCTTTCACTGTGGGAAGACACTTCCATGAATCAAGTTTATTTGCCATCATAAAGATGATGGCATACTTCAGTTGGAGTGAGCTGTGGGATTTTGCAGCCTCGTTGCAAATTACATTGGGCAATTTGCATGGAGTCATGGATTTCTGCAACATTTTTAACACTACCTATAAATCAGTTTGTCTGGTGGCTGACTGGTTCTACAGTATCAACTTTTTCAGGTTTTATGTCATCTAGTAGCTCTCATTTTTATCTGTGTTACGAGATTTTATGGATGGTTACTGTTGTTTTGATGCTGATATGGCAACCAATGCAAATTTTCCCTGCAAATGCCTTGAAAAGAAGAAGCTGTCCTGGTTACTCTCTGGTTATGGTATGAGTGAGGAGAAAGCTGCACAAGGGGAGCTGCGGAAAGGAAGCAGAGACTGCATTATA